TCATCGGGTTGGGTTGGGTTTGGGTTTAGATAAACCCGACCCATGGGTACCCGCCCACCCATATAATTAATTTTCTCGGTATATTTAATATTCTAAACAACTAATCTTATTTATATTTGTGGAGACATGTCTAATTTTTTCTTTCTAGTTATGTAGAATGAAGTTGATGTTATTGAGTGGAGAGTGAAAAACTTAATTGAAAGGAAGAAGTTTCGATTAATCATGTTATTTATGGATAATTTGTGATTTGCTTCAATTTTCTTGAGTTTTCTAGATTGGTGTTGAACAATTTGTGTAGTTAATTTGTGATTTGCTTGAATTTTCTAGAATGGTGTTTTATATATGGATAATTTGTATTGAGAGATTGATATTTGACTTTAATTTTGATAGGAATTTGTTATTGTGAATTTTTTACGACAAAAACCCGTGGGTACCCATGAACCCGCGGATACCCAGCGGGTTGGGTTGGGTTTGAGTTTTTCAAACCCAGTGGGTTTTACCCCGGGTTTTTTTCACGGATAAACCCATGGGTTTGGGTTTGGGTTTGGCAAAACCCGACCCAACCCGACCCATTGCCATCCCTAGGGAGGACAGAAGGCAGAGGGAAGAATGGAGACATGGCGGCGTTGTTTCGGGAGGAAGGGCGCTCAGCGAGTGAACTATTAATTAAAATGAGGACATTTAAGTAATATTAGATGTTTTAGGGCGGACAAATTCAAATATTTAGGGCGTTAAATAGGAATTCAGAACAACAAATGGTGGCGACAAGTATTGATGGGGTGTGGGGGTCGACAAATCCATTTTTGTTTATAAAAAATGTTTTGAAACAATAAAAAATATAAGGATAAAAAGGTAATTTTAACTTTTATGTTAGAGCGATTATAATAAAGTTAGAGCGATGAATAGTTGCAAACGAAGAAGATAAGCTATAAAAGGGATAATTTAATTTGTTATTTCCAACCGGTCCAACCGTGATTCAATCGCATTTAACAGAGTTTTATAATGAAATTATAACAAAGGGCATATTTGATAATACGTATATATACTATATAATACGAGGCAGGTTTGATATGAAAAATAGTAGAGTGATAGATTTGAGAAAAATAAATAATAGAGTGATAATTTATACTATTAACTCCACATGAATAATCAAAGATCGTATTGGTAGAGTATAATTTTGGGTTTATAATGTTTGCACTTTCTTAACTATTGTATGTGCATTAGTCTCTAACATTTATCAACTCCCACTTATTATTAAAACAATTCTATACACAAAAATTATACAATAAATATTATTTTTTCATGTTCTTCCGTATTTAAGATTTCTAGGCATAACTTTTTCATTATTCTCTGAATTTTTTTATATACCTTCAATTTCAAAAAATTCTAAATTACATATATTTCCTTCCAACTCCGAATCCATATCCAACAATAAAAATGCAAACATTTCTTATAAGATATGAAAAAATACACACAACAATAAATTAGTACGACTTGATAAAAAAAATATTAACTAATTATTATTAATATCATAATCAACAAATACCATAAAAATTACTTGAAAATAATGAATCAAATATTTTAGAAAATTCTAAATTATTTTAAAACATAAAATAAAACAAAATTTATTTGAGAAGAGGTGGGTAAAAGCTAGTAAATAATTGAGGGTCGAACCAATTTTTCCGTGAGCTTGTTGGCCCTACTTAGAGGTTAACAAATCGGACTTCTCTTGTCTACTGGTAGCCTACTTCTTGTTAATGATTGAGCTTCATCAGATTAGGCCACGGATTCGATCATCGATGGGTGGCCAGAGAAATGGTGCCGCTAGCTCTTCCTGGCTTTCTCAGTTCTGGTTTTCAGCTCGGCGAACCAAACCCTTGAATCCTCCTCACAACACCACCGTCGCCATAAATCATCCGGACGGCCTTACCCGTCGCCTCGGCCTCTTCGATCTCATCCTCATCGGTGTCGGCGCTTCGATTGGTGCCGGAATCTTTGTAGTCACCGGAACCGTCGCCCGTGACGCCGGACCTGGTCTCTTTCTACTGTTCGCTCACACATTGGTCACACTTCCGTTCCTCTGTTCTTGAACCTACACCCTTTCTCTTTCGCACTGGTTATGGCCGATACAGTTGTGATTGTCATTATGCTGGAGTATTATGATAGTAGGGATATCCACCAGCATTCGAGTTGCTCCTTTCCCTTTCTTTTTTTCCGCGGCGCTTCTAGCTTGTTATAGCTGTTGGGGATCCCAAACAGTCATTCTCATCCTTCCAAGTTTCGATGGAGCAGCTAGCTTCTTCCCTTAAGAATAGCGAATTTAAGGTTTAACGCTCCGCTTGCTTGAATGTGAGGGGTGCTCTGTAGTCTTGAATGGCCAAAGTGCCCATCTCCTTTCATTCGACTTCGATGAAATTCCTGAAAGAGGAAGAAGTGACAAGGCATTTTTACTTAGCTCTCTAGATTCTTGTGTGCACAAATGACTGCTAATGGCTTAATATTTGCATCCCCTATATGTTGCAGGAGTTACAATCAGCTTCATACTGGCTGGACTCTCATGTATATTGAATGCACTATGTTATGCCGAGTTGGCTTCTCGGTTCCCTGCTGTTGTTGGAGGAGCATACTTATACACTTATTCAGCTTTCAATGAAATCACTGCTTTCCTTGTTTTCGCACAACTGATGCTCGATTACCACATTGGGGCGGCTAGTATAGCACGGAGCTTAGCAAGTTATGTAGCTACCCTGTTGGAGCTCTCTCCTGTTTTCAGAGGTCTCCCAAGTTGGTTCGGAACTGGTGAAGAGTTTTTTGGAGGAACTGTGTCAGTCAATGTATTGGCTCCAGTTCTGCTTGCTCTTCTCAGCGTTATCTTATGTCGCGGAGTTGGAGAATCTTCCGTTTTGAACTCAGTCATGACTATTACAAAGGTACCTCTACCTATCCTTCTCTCAGTGAAAAGTTATGGCCATATTATTTTATGCAATGCTTATTTAAACATCCTTGTCCTTGTCAATTCTTTTCAATGTCGTCTCCCCTGCTCAAGTTTCTGATTTCCAAAGATGACTAACATTTAGTGTCACTGTGATTGCAGATTGTCATTGTCATCATTGTCATCTTTGTTGGTGCTTTTGAGGTCGACGTAGCAAACTGGACGCCTTTTGCTCCAAATGGGATTAAGGCCATATTCACTGGCGCAACTGTGGTGTTCTTTGCTTATGTTGGGTTTGATGCAGTTGCAAATTCTGCAGAAGAATCAAAGAGACCACAGGTCTGCCTTAATTATTCCACCTCATGAATTCGGTTTCCTGACGAACTATGGTTGAATCGATATCACTTATTATTCCGCATTTCCTTCTGTTTTGTTTCATCTTTGATAAATTTCAGAGGGACTTGCCGCTGGGGATCATTGGCAGCCTTTTCATTTGTATTGTTTTGTACATTGGAGTCTGTTTAGTGATCACTGGTATGGTGCCTTATAATCTCATTGGTGAAGATGCTCCCCTCGCTGAAGCTTTTAGGTCAAAAGGCTTGAAATTTGTTACTTTTCTAATAACCATTGGTGCTGTTGCTGGACTTACCACAACGCTTTTAGTCGGCCTTTATGTTCAGGTAAATCATGGACCATACTACACATATTAGTTGTGCCATGTACTCTTGAGGTGGAAAACATAATCAGGGAGAACTGTATCTTTCTGTTTGTGCAGTCTCGACTATATCTCGGTCTTGGAAGGGATGGTCTGCTGCCCGCGGTATTTGCTAAAGTGCACCCAACGCGCCACACTCCTATCCATTCACAAGTCTGGGTTGGAATTGTCGCTGGTGTTTTGTCGGGGTTGTTTAATGTGTCAGTTCTTTCCCACATTCTGTCAGTTGGCTCATTGGTATGCTTTTTCAATCCCTCTTCTAGACAATTTCCAGGGTTTCAAGTCCTCTTAAAACTTTGGCTTCAATTCAAAACCCAGCATTTCCAATTGCATGATACGTCCTGAAGTTTGACATTAGAACAGTTTGCTGGGTTTCTGAGGATTTCACTGCATAACTTGTGTGCTTATTGCCAAGACTCTTGAGCTTTTATGCTTCCTGGCATTATTTTTACGTCTACTTGTCTTGCAGACTGGATACTCGGTTGTCTCTGCATGTGTCGTTACCCTTCGGTGGAACGATAGGCATGCAGATGATCGAGTTTTATCAAGGTGGACTTCACCCTGGCAGGAAGGTGTCATTTGCCTCATCGTGGTTGCCTGTTGTGGATTTGCTACCGGTGTCTCATATCGTTATGATGGCTCGTTCATTTTTATGATTGTCGCAGCTGTTATAGCTATACTCTCTATATCTGCTCTCTGCTTCCGTCAAGTGAGTTAGCATATCTCCCTCTGCTTCATTGATGGGTCGATATGGAATCTATTGATCTTTCTAAACATCCGCTGCTTCTTCATTCCTCAGAGTTACAGAGATCCTCCAGGGTTCTCTTGTCCTGGTGTTCCCATTCTGCCGGCTGTTAGCATCTTCTTCAACATCTTCTTATTTGCTCAGGTACCCCTTTGAATTAACCACACATGGATGCAGAAATGTGAATTAAGAAATTTGAGTTGTGGCTATTATTTATTATGCAGCTACATGAAGAAGCCTGGGTGAGATTTGTGGTCCTCAGCATTATCATGGTTGGAGTGTATGCATTTTACGGCCAATATAATGCGAAGCCAGGAGGTATGGATGACGAGACAATCGTTTATCATAGTGCTCCTACTGAACCAACTTTCTGAGAACTGCGGGAATAGCCAAACCGCCATCAGCACATGGATTGTCTTCTGTTGTACCCCAATTGTTGTTGTCCTGTATCGTCCATGTATTCACTTCCAGCTTAAATCTTGTATGATATCATTACTTGGATAAAAATGACATGTGCTTTAGGTGTGTATTTAGATTCTGCGAGGATTGTCAAAACCGTTTCGGGATCAAATGGGTAAAGGCTTGTTATTACAACTCAAGGTATATAGAGTACTGACAATGTCTAAAAACAAACTATCATAACACTGTGATAAGCCATATCAATTTGGTCATCGATATAATGGTTGATTGGTACTATGACCGGTGGATACTTGAGGCTTTCTTCCTTGTGAATTCCAACTCTTTCACTCCATACATGAAGAAGTACAAATGTTGGCAAAGAAGGGAGACAGACGGGGAAAAGGCCCAAAATCGATCAGGGACAGTTCTCAATTACAGACAACGTCCGAGTAAAAGCCTATGATGGTCCTCCTGGTACAATCCTGAATACTGAGAAGCTCCACATCAAAGACCTCAAATTGCTTGGCGCTGAAAAATGTTGAAGGCCCGACCTGCTTTGGGGAAGACAGGTCCCATCAGAAAAAGAAAACAAAAAGGAAAAGAAGACAAGATGCTGAAGGGTAAAGTTTGAGAAGAGAAGAAGATACTGACCGGGGGTCCGAGTTCTGGCGGAATGATGATTCTTCTCTTCCCACCAGGTCTCATTTCCCCAATGCCTTGCTCAAATCCTGCAAGCGAACAGAAGGTGGTTGCCAAACTCTCAGACTGAGACTAGTTCTTTAGAGCAGTAGCACCCATCAAACTTACCAGGAACCAAGGCATTAGTCCCCATCCGGATTTTGGCGGGGGAACCTTGCAAGTAGGTGCTGTCGATACGCCGCCCTGACTCATTGTACCCAATGTAATGGAAGGTCACCTGCACATTGCTAGCCTATGCTGAGACACGGCGACCAGACACATAAGAGGAACCAATGAAAAAGCTGTTAACTTGTATGAAAAGAAACATTAATGAAAGAAAAACCTGCTGACCAGCTTTTGGGCAATCACCATGACCAACTTCAAAGTCCTTATATATGAGTCCAGAGTTGGTCTTCAAATACTTCTCAGAAGCCACTACCTTAACCTCAAACCCTGCAACCACAGCAACAACAAAATTACTGGACGGATATTAGCACGCGCAGCTTCAATGCCTGCCCTAGTACAAAGTTGAGTGGTGGCTAATGGAAAACAACAGACCTTCCCTCACAAAACTTGGGAAGTCTTCAGGAGCATTGTTTTCTCTCTGCACCCTCTTGTTCTGTTCAAGCAGCCGCCTTTCATCATATGGGTTCTTGGTTTTGGTCTTCCCCAAAGATGGGAATGTTTGGAACAACAAGAAACTCGACGCAGGGACGGAGATGAAGATGAGTAATCTACGCCTTAGTTTCTCTGATACAGGCCCACTCTGGATTCTGATTCTGCTCATTATAATGGGTCAAGTTAGAGTTCGACCAAAAAGCTACGCTGAGAATAAAGAGTTTGGTGGGGAATCTCTTTACCCTTCATCGTTAAACTTGTGTGAACAACAACGCATCTCATGTTTCTTTGGACCTAAAGCTGGAAACCCTGAAATGGTTCCACCTGCCAACAAAGAGGAATTCAAGTATCCATTGGTGAACAGGCAATGGCTGTGCTAAGTTGCTTCTGAAGAAGTTTTCTGCAGTTAAAAAAGAGATAGAGAGAGAGGCTTACAGGAAGAAGGCGGGAGCAATCGGATTGGAATATGGGCCATTAACATGACTATTTCGTTTGCTAGCTATCCAAGCTGACCGCAGCAACTTAGCAGAGAGCGCCTTCTTGTTCCTCTTCTTTCCCACCCTGCTGCAACAACCTTATCTTCCATTTTTTTTTGGCTTCTCGGCATTGATTCGATACAGGACTGCGGCATGTTCGCAACTCTTATTGGGCTTTTCTTTTCTTAACAACTTCATGGGCTTCAAGAACTGCCCAAAGCCCTCAGCGTGTGGAAAAGTGCTTGTATAATTTCTATTTTGAATTAAAATAAGGGTTAATATATTTGTATGGTCTGAACTTTGACCAAAATAAACATCCTAACCAATTTTTCGATCTATAACATCCTCGTCTGAACTATACATCAAAATAACTAATTTGGCCAGAGCCGACGTTTGACCGTTAACTTAGATGGTCAAAAGCGTTGACTAACGGTCAAGTTAGTCAACGCGTCATGTCACTGCCAACTCAGCAAATTTCAATTAATTTTTTTAATATCCACCTATTACTATTTATTTTTCCATTTTGAATTAAAAAAAAGTTAAAAATGAAAAATGAATTTCGGGAAAAACCTGTAGCCCCTCACTCTCACCTTCCTTCTCACCACCATCACCACCATAATCCCTCCATCTTCTCTCTTCTCCGACTACCTCATGTTCCGCACAGACCACATCTTAGCAAAATCCCCTTCCTTCCCATCTTGCCCCACGAGTTTCAATTGGTACCCATTCAATATTCGGATTCCTTCTCCTCTCTTCTTCAATAATCCAGATCTAGCAGCCACCACCGCTTGGTCACTGCCTTCGTGCGACAAACCTATTCATGGAATCTGGCACAATCAATGGCCGTTCTGGGTGTTAGATTGAAAATTGAAAGCCCATCAACTAATGGGGAGAGGGATCTTCATCCGGGTGATGCGATGGTCGAAGAGGTGGAGAGGGATGGCCCCCAACAGCAGCACGAAAGCACTTTGCTCACCATTCTGCCTCCGACTCACCACTGGCGGGACGAACAGTGTAGGTGGCCATTTCCCCAAAACCCGAGGCGTCGCCTGCTGTTGCGGTTGCTGTAAGTTGGCCAGAGTTTGTTTGGAGGGTTCCATCTTCGTATATCGGAAGACACAGTGATTGGCGAATCAATTGGAGATTGATTTTCTAGGGTTTCCTGCACCGATTCGCCCCTACCAATTTTCTTGTCTTTCTTCCCCTTCCATAGGCTTCACCGCCGTCGACAAAATGGAGACTGGGAGTTTGGCACTGGGGTTGGAACAGTTGCTATAACGGTGGAGTCTCAATGAAGAGTTCGTGTGACGGCAACGATGGAGAACTGGGGGAAAAGTAGGTTGGATGGAGAGTTAGTTGTTTGGGGAAGAATTGGATGCCCAATTTGATTTTTTTTTCGTTGAATCTGGATGCCCAATTTGTCTCGAGAGAATATTGGGTAATTTCCCAATTTGTTTTTCTTTTTAACCTTTTTTTAATAATTTTTGGGTTTTTAATTTTTCAAATTAATTATAATAATTCAAAATTATAAAATATGTGGAATTGATGAATTTTTTTAAGTTTATCTATGCTGAGTTGGCAGTGACATGGCGCGTTAACCGTTAGTCAACGCGTTTAACCGTCCAAGTTAACGGTCAAACGTCGGGTTTGGCCAAATGAGTTATTTTAATGTATAGTTCCGGCCAGGATGTTATAGATCGAAAAGATTGGTCAGGATGTTTACTTTGGTCAAAGTTTAGGCCATACAAATATATTAACCCTTAAAATAACTAGCTTATTACCCGGCCCCTTGGCCGGACGTAGTCTCGGAAATTGACTTTTTTATTCTAACTGATATTACCCGTTAACATATATGCGGCGATGGTTGGAGGTAGGTCAACAACACCATAATAATATGATGTAAAGTCATTATCTCATTGCATTAGAAAAGAAATAGTAAAACATAAATAGTATAATGGACAATCCAAACCAAGCCATTAGCCTTAAATATAACCACTATCGCCATGCACTGTGATGCCACTAGAGTGAACACGAAAAAACCAAATGAATGCTTACCGTACTCCAATTATTGATGGTAAAAATGGAAGCCACCAAGAGATTTCATAAGAAAAACTCAATCTGGATTGCCCTTAGACCAAAAACCATAGTGACACAAAAGGTGATGATTCTCTGGCTAAGAAAACTAAAAACAACAATGTCTTAATCAAGTCTATGGGAATGCGTCGGTCAGTTTTTTCTGATAAATAGTTTTGTTAATTAATATGACAGAAAAAAAATACAAAACATGAAATCTGTTTTAGAAATCTCATATATAAACAAAAGAAACAGATAATCTATATATGCCTGGAAGCACCAACATATAATAACTTTTGTCAATACCCCTACAACTATGAAATCCTACCAAATCACTCCTAACCACTCTGCTACACTAAACACACAAATGACTTACAACTTTGTACTTTCTATCTCTTCAATCTGTATAAGTCAATTGTCATGAACCCTCCTCATTATCACGATTCTTATCCAAGATGAGGACGAGGTCGATGTGGATGAAGCATCCACAAGTTACAAGTGCTACCAATACTTTCTACCTAACCTCGATGCACTTTTGGTGAAGGACCCATTTGCGGCTCTTTGCCAAGCCAAGGCCAAACCATCGGCAATCCCTCTTGGTGGATGCAATGGAAGGAAATCGATGATTCATTACATGGTGTGGGGCAAGGAGAAAGAAGAAGAAAAGGAGAAGGAGAGGTCTCAAGGGTGGAGGCTTCATCTCACTCAATTTCATGAGTCATCATCAAATGTCATTCCATATGCTCATGACTTGAGGCTCCACCTCGACAATGAGAACCTCAATTTCAAGGAGGTTCTCGGATGGACGAAAGGTTAAGGAGAAACCGTCTAGCTTATGACGTTAAAATAGCGCTTGTTGGGAGGCAACCAAACATAGGTTTGTGTGTGTTTTTATGTTAAGTATTATTATTGTGAAATAACCTCGCATTGTGCGAGAATGTGTTGTGTTTTTGTGCTTTCTCCATGTGAAGCCTTCTCTCTTCTCTTGAAACCTGCCCAATTATGTCCCGACTTTCACTCGCCAAGCTATGCGGTAACATCATTCTACCCCTTAATTTACGCCTTTGAGGGCAATGTCGAAATTAAGTGTGGGGGTAGTTTATTATTATGTGTGTGTGTGTGTGATTGAGTGCTTGTAGCCTTGATGTATGCCCAATTGTTTTTTAAAAGTTGAGGGCTCTAAGCATTGCATGTTCATTATGGCTGGTTTGTTGGAGAATCTTGTGTTTATTGGCATTGACCGTGAATCGATTGCATGTGATTGAGTGTGTCCTATGATGATGACTGAGAATTGCAATTGGTGTGTGCAAAAGTTTAGTTCTCATGTGTGCCTAAATTAATGGATGTCTTGACTTGGTTACTCTTTGATCACAATTTCCTTGCATAGAATTTTGTGAAATTGGAATAGACGATTGGGTGACTAGGTAGCCATGTGAGTTTTGTGCCGATAGTTTTTTTCATGTGTGATAGATCCCTCTTACCTAGGGATGGCAATCAAACCCATGGCCGTGGGTATGGGTAAAACCCGCAAAAAGTTTGATGGGTATGGGGCGGGTATGGTTTTGGCCTCCCCCGCCCCATACCCATATCCGCCCCACCAAAGAATTTCTTCACATATACAAAAACATGTGGATCAAATTGTAATCTATCAATGGTGATGAGGATAACTCAAGGAAATAAATAGTAGAAATGCAACAGAGTGACCACTTTAATCAAAACCTAATTCATTTCCCTCAATTCTCCTTTCACTCTTTCACTTTCACCCTTGTCAACAAGATTATGTTAGTTAATTATTACTTAGTAGATGTATAAGAGTTAGAACATAATAATTTGAAAAATATTATAGTCTATATTATGTATTAAAATGTTTTAGGATCATATTCTTTGAACCATATTAAGAAAATGATCGTGTTTTGTTGAATTCGTGATATAATAGGTACGTTTAGAGTTGTAGTTAAAACTTTTCTTGTGAATTTTTGGATAATAGTGTTGGATGTACGGGTACGGGTATTACCCATGGGTACCCGAAACCCACGGGTATAGGGATGGGTTTGCCGAACATTCCCCCACATGAGTATGGGGCGGGTATGGGTTTGGATATTTGAAGATGGGGGATGGGGATGATTTAGACAAACCCGCCCCATTGCCATCCCTACTCTTACCATGGCAAGCAACATTCACCGTTTTCACTAGTGAGTATGATGGAGGCATAGGATTAGTCCAAGCCCAAAAGTTGATTGTTCCGAAACATTTTATCCCCTAGTCAACCCTTTTGAGTCATGTGACTTTGAGGGTCGTTCTCATGTTAGGAGCTTGTTGCCTGTGAGCTTAATGGTGATTGATAAAACGACCCCTCATCCTTTCTTCGTGGCTAAACCGTTGTGAGTCATCCTTGTGTCCCGGAGCTTTCGCTTTTGAGCTCCATTGAGGTTCTACATAGGTGGATTTTGCATGGTTCTTGCTCAAAATGAAAAAGTAGTGTTGGAGGAAGTTCTTAATAGAGAGCATTGCTCGTTAAGTGTTAAGGTGGCAAGTGTTTAACTTTCTAGTACCCCCCTCAAAAAAAAAAAAAAAAAAGAGAAAGAAAAGAAAAGAAATAGAAATAGAAAGTATAAAAAAGGAAACAAAAAAGAGGTAATAAAATGGGGTAAATAAAAGTAGAGAGTTGCCACAAAGGTCTAATTGTATGCTCTAGAAAGAGTTTCTTGGCACTGAAGACATTGAAACACCTAATTGTTCGTTGACCTCCTTCACTACTACGATTGAGTTGTGGATAGCAAGATAGGCCGAAGAAGTGTGCTTGAATGTAGTTTGTGATTGGTAGTGGTATGGAAGAAGGTAAGTGTGGTTTTTGACGGATGCTAGTGGCCTTTGTTTGTAGGAAAGGTTCTTAGTCGAAACCATAGAACCTTTAGGACCTCATGCTATGTTTGCCACCACCCAAAAGGCATTTTCCCCATGTCCAAGACAATTACCGGTCATTTGAACCCGTGTCTAAGACCTCCGAAAAGCTAGTGATGACAACCATCACGTGAACTATAACATTTAGAGGTTT